AAGGAAATTAAAGGAAAACAAAACAAAAAAAAAAAACCCACACATATTAATGCATGAAAGAGTGTTTCTTACCCAACTGGAAAGTACACTGTGAAGGTGAGGTGGTCCTAAACTTTTTTAAGCAAGGACACAGCTGACCAAACCCCAGAGTTCCACCAACCCCATCCTCCAACCACCTGGTGTTCCCTTGGCTTGTGTCCACTGGACGCATTTCCACCCACCGCTCACAGGACGCCTCTCTACACCATATGGACCAAGAGGATGAGTCATCTGTCATCCAGAATTCTTCTCTTGGCCTTTCCACACTCAGTCCCCCTTTGCACACTCGACAGGCTCATCCTCTGCAGAGCACGTGCTCTGCACCCAGACAGTTAAGGCCGAACACGGGACGCAGCATTCCCGACACTCCTCACGCTGCCAAATGGAGTTACTCCAGAACTTTACAGGAAAATCACAACTGAAAAAGTGACCAGATGGGTGTTCAAGGAGAAACATACAAACGAAGTCAGTTAGGAAACGGGCGTGCTTGATTAAAAACAGACCTATGATGTAAAAGAACTGGGGCTATTCACCCTGAGAGGAAAAGTTACGGCCCAAGCAGAGCATTGAAAAGATAAATAAAACACTCCATAACTGAAACTGCCTTTTCAACTTCGCATAGCTGAATGTTTTTAAGAGGACTTTTGAACTTAGCACTTCATGATGTGACCAAGAAAAAAATAGTTCAGCATATTGTGTACAGCAAATAATAACAGAATCTCATACTGACATAGCACTTTCTAGATGCAAGCATTCTTCTAAGCACTTTGCATACATTCACTCATTTGATCCTGACAAACCCTTTTCTAATCCCTGTTTTCCATGAGGAAGGGGATGCATACAGGAAGGGTATCTTGCCCAAGGTCACACACAGTGCCAGTAAATGGCAGAGCTGAGATTCAAAATGGGCAGTCTGGCACTACCTGAGGTTCATTATTATTACACTAACCACCTTCCCAAAAATGTGTAACACAGATGAGCCCTTTTCAAAACAGATTTTAAGTTTACTAAAAATGTGCGTTTTATAAGTTGAGAGCCTTACATTAAATTCAAACCTGGCCAGTGTGGCTCGATGGTTGAGTGTCGACCCATGCACCAAGAGGTCACCGGTTCAATTCCCAGTCAGGGCACATGCCCAGGTTGTGGGCCAAATCCCCAGTGGGGGACATGCAGGAGGGGGCCAATTGATGTTCTCTCTTATTGATGTTTCTGTCTCATCTCTCTCTCCCTCTCCTTTCCTCTCTCTCTAAAATCAATAAAGAAAATTTTTTTTTTAATTTTAACTTGGGAAATCACTGTTGGGTGGTGGCAAAGCCAAAGTTTATCAGTCACGGCAAATACCGACCCAGGAAGTGTTGGATGGGCTAACTTTTGTGAGTTAAATGTGTAATGTCTAGGGAAATTCACCTGGCTGGAAAAGACAATTAAAAAAACTCCAAGGCTGTGGTACCTAACTAACATCAGTCACAACCCTGTCAATTCTTCCTGGTCAATCTATTCTCTCCCAAATGGTGTTTCCTTTCCATCACCCTGCTACTGCTTACACTCAGACCTTCAGCGTCCCTCGGTCCAACTGTTCTACCAATCTCTTTCTTGGCTTCTAGTCATCACCCCTCCCTGCCCCAGAACCGAATCTCTCCTCTTTCTGAGACACAGATCAGATCACGTCACGCCCCTACTTAACAACTCGTCACTGGTCCCTATAGCCAGTACTTTCCATTCCATCATCTTTGTGTAGACTCAAATACCACCCACTCCAGGATTTCTCTTGCTGACTCCTGCCTGTAGGCCCAGGAAATAGTAGGCTGGCATTTCTCTCTTGCCAGTCACACTGCCCCTCTGCTGGAAAAAATCCGCCCCCCCCATCCCTATTCATCAACCTGCAGAACATCTTTCTATTCATCTCTTTTTCAAAAGTTGTTCCAATTCCTCCTCCCACTAATAGACCATAATTGTCTCCTTTATGCCCTCAGGGTACCACATATATATACGTATTTCTATTATACCTCAGTAATTAATTTTTTTACATACCTGACTCCCCTTCTGTGATACAAGTCCCTTAAAGGAGTAGAGACAATGTCTTACCATTTTTATCAACATCATTTAATAGTTTATGACACATGTAGGTACTTTATTCATTATTGCCTTCCACAAGCCATGATAGCCTTTCTCTTTTTTTCTTGTTTTTGTTTAGGCTCTGTAAGCCATATAGTCTTTTTAAAATATTTTTATTGAGTTTTAGAAAGGAAGGGAGAGGAGAGACAGAAACATTGATCTGAGAGCAGAACATATACTAGCTGCCTCCTGCACTCTCTCTAACAGGGATCGAGCCCAAATCCCAGGCATGTGCCCTGACCGGGAATCAAACTGGCAACGTTTTGGTGTATGAGATGGTGCCCAACCAACAGCCACACCAGCCAGGGCCAGCCTTTCTCTTAACAAAAGTTTTCAATTTAGTCTATTGGTTCCCTCTAGCCGTATGAGGACATAGTTCCACATTTTTTAAGGGAAGGTATTCTAAAAAGATATGATCTACTTTATAGTCAACTTTTCAGAACACCTACAAAGTGAGAAACATGTTGACTAGCAGTTCACAAAGAATGCTCCACAGACCCATCCTGGAGGTTCTCATTGGGTGCTGGGAACGAGGCGGGAGATTCTAGGGTCAGAAAATACCTCACGATGTCTCTTTCTGTTAAGCAACAAATTACATTATCATATTAAAGTTTTGGCAAAATCCTTAAGTAAAGGAAACTGGTTAAAACTTTGATACTTACTAATTCTGGGCAGGTAACAACCCTACTTTGTCTCAGTTTTCTCATCTATTAAATGTGGATAATGATACCCACTTCATACAGTTATGGTAGAGACTGAAAGAGATAATATCTAGTGTTCAGAATAATTCTTTTTTTTTCAATTAATTTATTTATTTTTGTTACAGATGTTTCTCCCCCACTGATTCCCGCTTCCCCCCTTCCCCACCCCGTCCCCAGCTTTGTTGTCCATGTCCCCTGTTCATGCATACATGCATATAAGTTCTGTGGTTTCTCTCTCCCACACCACCCCCTCTTCTGGGGATTGTCAGTCTGTACCTCACTTCCACGTCTCTGGGACTACCCCATTCCTCAGACTGTTATGTTCATTATATTCCACAAATAAGTGAGATCATATGATACTTGTCTTTCTCTGTTTGGCTTGTTTCACTTAGGATGACACTTTCCAGGTCCCTCCATGTCGTCTCAAAGGATAGAGATCTTTCTTTCTTACAGCTGCATAGTACTCCATTGTGTATATGTACCACTGCTTTTTTATCCATTCATCTACTGATGGACATTTGGGTTGTTTCCAGATTTTAGCTGTTGTAAATAGAGCTGCTATGAACATAGGGGTACATACATTCTTTCTGACTGGTGTTTCAGGCTTCGTACGATATATTCCTAGAAGTGGGATCACTGGGTCAAATGGAAGTTCAATTTTTAATTTTTTGAGGTAACACCATATTGTTTTCCATAGTGGCTGCACTAGTCTGCATTCCCACCAGCAGTGCACTAGAGTCCCCTTTTCTCCACACCCTCGCCAACACTTGTTTGATGATTTGTTGATGGCGGTCAGAATAATTCTTGACACACAGTAAGTGTTGGCCTTTTTTAATATTTAAACTGACATTTTCTAAACATATTTGAACACAAAGCCTGTTTTCTAGTCTAGCAGTTATAAACACTGCACACTACACACTGAGAAAGACTGATACGAGTAAATATTCACCATATTAGTCATTTGGGAGATTCGTGGCTCTACACTTGAGCAGAAATGCAGGCCATCTGATAGTTTCAATGCAGGACAATTCCTCTGGTTTCTCTATGACTGGCAAACAAGGTTTTAACCGTCACAGCTTCCTAAGGTTTGGGTTTCACCAGATGAAGGAAGAAATGAGTGCACCGTGTGAACTAGAGACATTTGTCAGAGCTAAAGTGCAACGCCACATCTTTTGCTCAGAGAAAGTAGTACGTTCATCCTGTCTCTATTTTCTTCGCACTAAGACATCTTGCTATTTGGTAAGATGAAGAATCCACCCCGCCCATCTTTTTCCTTTAATCAATCAAAAGATGTATACTGAGCAAACTTAAAAGGAGAAGATCCTGAATCCTAGCTTGCTGAAGTGCAAAATTGTGCAGTATTTTCTATGCATATTCCTGGGTGCAGTGTCATAGTTCTCATCAAGGGATCCATAATGCCTAAAAGGATTAGGAACCGCTGAGTTTTTAAATCAGGTTCATGTATTGTTTAAATACATATTAAAAATTAAACATGTCAAAGGGTATAGATGGTGAAAGGTTAAGTCTCCCAACCCTAATCCTTATCTAGAGTCAACCACTGTTATCAGCTTTTATATCCTTCCAAAGACAGCTTATGCATGTGTTCATAAGTATATACAGTAATATTTTACCATCCCTCCATTTCTACATAAATACATGATATGTACTATACTGCAAGTAACTTTGTTCACTTGGAAGTTTAACTTGAGATCTATCCATATTAACACATGGATACAGATTATTTGGCTATTGAATATACCAAAATTTAAGTCATCCCCTGACAGCTACTTAGGTTGTTACCAATGTCTTGCTATTTATAAATAATGCTGAAATGAAAAGTATAAAGATTGACAAACTGCTCTCCACAGGTTGCCCGTTTTATATTCTCAGCAATACTTGTTTTCTACCTACTCAATAAGATATTTTCAAATTTTCTATCTTTGTTAATCAGATGGGTGAAAAGTGGTAACTCATGGCTTTAATTTGTGTGGCCTATTATAATGAAAGAACCTCTGATTTCAGATGTCATACTTTTGACGACTTAGTCATGGAAACAAAAGGCATCCTCAAAACTGGAAAAATAACGGAATTCAATGAAGGACAAACGACTCCCAGAAATCCAGCTTACCCATGGCTTCAACTCACCATCTAGTAGCCAGTGCTGATCCCGCCTGTTCTCCAGCTCCGACATCATCAGGCGTGTGATCACGTGATCTGGAACCAAAAGACCTTTCTCTATGTACTGCTTTGCCATATCTCCAACTTCTATTAAAAGACAGGAAAGAAGAGACACTCAAAAAAAAGCTTCATAAAAATAAAAAACTTACAAACCCTTTTTTGACAGTTTTGCCTTATCTCCCATTTCTCCTGGTTGCTATGGGGGAAACGTTAAAGACATGTTTTTAGAGTAATGTTTTAAATGCTGTCTTCAGCCTGGCTGGTGTGGCTCAGTGGTTGAGCATTGACCCATGCACCACGAGGTCGCCAGTTCATTTCCCGGTCAGGGCATGTGTCCACGTTGTGGGCCGGATCCCTAGTGGAGAGCAGGCAGGAGGCAGCCAATTGATGTTCTCTCTCATCGATGTTTCTATCTGTCTCTCCCTCTCCCTTCCTCTCTCTAAAACCAAAAAGGAAAAAAAAAATTTAATAAATACTATCTTCAATAATGGTGGCACTGTCTCCCTCTTGTCTCCCCCAAAATTTTAAAAGCAGCTCTTAAAGATATACACAGACAGAAATAAAAATAAAAATATATAAGTTAGACATAAAGTTAAAATAAGAGTAAGAAACAAAATTGGAGTCCAGAGACAGGGTGGTACACAAAAGGCCAGGAAGGAAGTTTTGGCATCTTCTTGAAGGTGAGCAACAAACTGGACACTGAGCCTCCCAACAGTCTCTAACGAGGAAATGTGGCCACCTGCATGGCTCATGGTATGCAGAAGACTGAAGGAAGCTGAGAAGCACAACCATTCCTCAGAGCCAAAGGAAAAACATTTCCACTGTTCTTCTAGAAAGAATGCTGGATAATACAAACAATAGTTTTATTTCTTTTAGGGAGCCTCAAGTATAAGCAAATGGCATCATACTGACATAATTGTAAAAGAAACTTTGTGTTATTAGCGGAATGCTAAGTTCAGGGGTAAAAAAGTGCTTCTATCTCCTAGTGAGAATTTTTTTTTTTTTTTTTATCCTCACTGGAGGATATTTTTCCATTTTTTTTTACAGATAGAGTGGGAGGGAGAGAGAGGAAGGGAGAGAGAGAAAAACATCGACGTGAAGGGACACATCGAGTGGCTGCCACCCGCACGACCAACCAGGGCCGGGGACAAACTGCAACCGAAGTACGTGCCCTTAGCGGGAACCGAACCTGGGTCTCTCCAGACCGCAGGCCGACGCTCTAACCGCTGAGCCAAACTGGCCAGGGCAAGTGCTTCTATCTCAATTTAAAACAATTCCTTACTTGTGGAGGTTGTGAGCTGGGCTCAGGAGAAAAAATTATCAGTTTAAACTGGTTAAATTTCTAGGAACTGAATTTTTTTTTAAAACCAAGATGAAGTCCTTCGCTCTCCAGGGAAATGCCAGTGAACCATTAAGAACCACATTCTCCACAAGCCAATTAAGTTCGTATAAAAACATGAAGCAGAATTGTATTACTATGCGGGGGGAAAGCCCAAGAATCCTTTTCTCCCTACCTTCACCTTGAAGTTAAGGTAGAGCCTTTCCTTCCCAAGACTGGGTCTCCACTCCTAACTTCAACTTCAACACTGAAATGGGAGCTATAAAAATTCCATAAAGAAATCAGAGGTTCTTTCATCCATAATAAGCCACACAAACTAAAGCTACAAGTTATCATTTTTCACCTGTCAGATTAACAAAGACAGAAAAGTCAAAAATCTTTTCTTGAGTATGTAGGAAATAAGAATTGGCAGCCACGGTTCTTCTCTGGAGCAGGACAGGCATGACATCCTCAATCTGATACAAAATCAAATTTCCACCACCTCCCTCAGTCCCCACCGTGAAAACCTGGAAAGGTCAACAGCCAGAGCGAAATGGATTTAAGAACATAACTGCATCTGAATGAAGATCCTACCACAACAGCAAACCAATAAAATGTGGGTCAGAAGACAGAGGTCCATTCCAGAAAATACGACCTTCACTTGCCCCTATCAATTTGCTTGGAAGACATAACAGTATCCTTCAGTGTGAACGCTAGCATGTTTGGATACAACACATAGCTGCTCCAATTTCTCAAGCAGAATTCCAAAGAAAGGCTGTAGACAAATACACATTGTCTTTTTGTGCTGATTGTCCATAAAGTCAGGGCAAACTGGATATGGAACACAGAGCTGGACAAGTGTCCACAAAGCAGCAAATTCCCCAAGATGCCTAGCCAAATCACCAGAAACAGATAACAACTCAATGTCCTTTCCATCGTTCATGCCAGAAAACTGAGGATGAAAGAGCCCTATCAAAGAGCTCGATTCCCTCCTAAGGCTGCCCAGCACTAGGAGAAACATGCCCCTCCCAGGATCATCCCTTCTTCAAAAGGTCACTGAAAATGCCAAAACGCACGCACGCATGCACCATCCGAGGCAGGGGCAAGATGAACTGTAGCTTTGTGATTCTGCCAACTACAAGTTCTTTTTCCCCCACCCTGAAGAATATTTTGCACCGAAGTAGTTACTTGAAAAAAATTAATAAAACAAAGAAAAATGTCATTCTATCAACTGCTTATCCTTGCTATCACTTTGATGAGTTTCTTCTGGTTAGGAAAATAAGCTTTAACAAAAAAAATCTTGGTTAAGAAATAAATACCAAGGACCTTTAGAGGTGAACATTATGGAAGAAACTCCTAAATTTAGGGTATTTTGGCACTTCACTGAATGACTCATTTCAGATGTCCAGTATCCCACCTTTCAGTTTGGCCCTGCTCCAAGACAGGCTTTCTTTTCCTTCCCACCAAATAGACATGAACACAAAGCCCTCCACGAACCTCCCGGTTGGTAGGTATGAAGACAATTCTGAGTCTGGTGTAATGGTCAAGAGCAGATACTTTACAAGCATTTTTCCTGGGTTCAAATCCTAACACTGCCACTTAAAGGCTTTTAAGACTTTGGTCACATTGTGTGTTTTTGCCTCAGTTTCTTCATCTCTAAGTTGGGAATAATACCACCTAGGGTTGTTTTGAGGTTGTATGTGGTTAATAAGTGTAAAGGACTTGAAATAATGGCTCTTTGCAAATTTCATTCAAGGATATGGAGAGAGTAGTTGCTTCTATATGGCAGGTGTTGTTCTAAGTAGTTTATATACATGAACCCATTTAACCGTCATAAATATCTACAAGGTCAATGTTATTATTTTCCCCATTTCATAAGTAAGTCAACTGAAGCAGAGAGGTTAAGTAAACTGCCCACAGTAATTCAGCTAATAAATGGTGGAGCTGGAACTCAAACTCAAGCAGGCTGGCACCAAGCTCATTTTCGTAACCACTCATTATACTACACTGTCTCTCAATGTCTGTGAGCATTTCCTTGAACAGAAGCACTTTGAATGTTAGAGTACACGTGTAATTTGTGATTTGTAAGAAACATACAGATGGCCCAAAGTGGGGCTCAGAGCTCCCCAAACCCTTGGAATTTCCTGAGTGGCAAGAGCAATGGGAGCATCTTTCACTAGAATATATGGTCTCTTGTCCTTAGTTCCTGAAAATGATCCAGAGCCCTAAAAGTGAAATGGTGTCTTGTTATTCATAATAAGCCCCTTTCCACAACGGGGTTTATATTAATGAGGTGACTGCTGGAAAGCACCCAAGGGTGAGCACTGGTTGTCAGAGCAACAACCATGAATAGAGGAATATACTTTCACTCCCACCCCCTGATTTCCTGGAAGGGGAGAGGGGCTGGAATCACCAATGGCCAGTGAGTTCATCAATCATGCCTATGGAATGTGGCCTTCATAAAAACCCAAAAAAGAGGGGGTTTGGAGAGCTTCCAGGCTGGGGACCCACAACACTTCAGTGTGCCGACCCCAAACATCCATGAAGACAGAAGCTCCTTTGTTCAGGACCTCACTCTCTGTATCTCTTCATCTGGCTGCTGATTTGTATCCTTTAATATCCTATGTAATAAACGGGTAATCTAATAAGTAAATGGGTTTCCTGAATTCTGGGAGCTGCTCTAGCAACAGAATCCAAGGAGGAAGTCGTGGGAACCTCTGATTTATAGTCAGTAGGTCAGAAGCACAGGTGACCGCCTGGGCTGACAATTGGTATCTGAACTAGGTGGACTATGGCATCTGAGCCTGTTTCCAGACAATGTCAGAATTGAGTTGCAATGTAGGACACCCTGCTGGTACTAGATAATTCCTTGGTGGTGTGCAAAGTCCTCTTCTCCCCCAACACCTCCCCCGCCACCCCACGGCCATTACCACAGGTTGCATTTGCATCCCAAGCCTGACCTCCTAACAAGACCGATCTGTCCCTACAGATGGAGGCCTGCTCCTCCTGAAGCCATCTGATGTTTTTAAACACCCACAAAATAGGTATGAGTCAACTTCTAAAGATTTCTGAGCTTATGACTCCAAAATATTCTCTAACAAAAAAAGCAGAAAGTTTAGCATGAAGGAAACAACTTATTGTCAAACTAATATGTAGGTAATTGGAAGTCACCCCAAGGGAGGGGTTATACTAGACTAGATGACCAAAAGAATACGCTACCTGTCTTTGAACTTTTCTCTTCGTCTGGGTTTTCTAGAATAATCTTTACCCTAAAGGTTTTCTGATAAATCACAAGACATTAGGAACTGTAAACTATTTCTAAAGACAGTAAGAAAGATAGCTTTATAATTTATTTAATATAAAATAATACACTTTGAAACTATAAAGTACGACTTTAATCATTCATTCATTCTTTAATCACTATTTATTCTTTGTTCCTTTGGACATTAGCAGACTAAGATCCCCATGGGATCAAGTTACTGATCATGTCTCCCCTGAGGAACAGTGACTTCACACAGAGTACACCTGTCTTTATTTTGCTATTAATCTTAGGGTACAATATTTAGCTCATCATAAGGACAATTATTATAGGTGTATTAGCCAAATGAAATTGTAGCTAAAATTATTTGAATCTGTGACCTATATAATTAATCATTTCCTAAGTGAAAAGAAGATTAATAGAAAAAAAAAAGTTTCTTGTAACCTAGATTTGAACCCAAGTTTATGTAAAGTACCAATATGTGGGTGTATCTCTTTACCACTAATGGTG